TTTTTTTTTTTTTTTTTTTTTTTTTGTTTTCTGTTTCTTCCTCTTACGAGGCTTATCTCGCATAATCTTTATATATTCTTACAGCTCGATCGAACGTCTAAAATAAAAGACTTGAAAAGTTGTAATTTTTGTTAACGATTGGTTAACATCTTGACAAATAATCGAGGAAGAATTGATAGTTACAATATCCATGTATGACTATATGACGCTGTTAATTAGGCTATAATAATACAGTACAACTCCGTATAACGCGATGCTCGTGTAATATGTAATCGGTAAATTATCGCGTTTTCGCACGGGCAGTCGCGGACCATAGTGAGCAGCCGCGGCGACTGGTTGATCATCCGACTGAAAAACCAATTAAACCAATTAAACCAACAACGCACAGAGCAACAGCCGATCAATCAACTGGCGATCTGAATTCTTCTATTTTCTCGTTTTCACTTTCAGTTCAGCTGTGAGCAGCGACTGAATATCGGTATGACTAGTTAGCATCGCTGACCGTTCGCCGCGTTCATATTCCGAACGCGATTAACACAATTATTGACACTCTGTGTACGTGTATATGTGACAATAAATTTTAGAGATATAAAAGCACGTTATTGCTTCGAACAAACAAGAGCAGTGTTTGCAATTGACTCGCTGCGCTCGCCCTGCATCTGCTTCGTTGCGTTGCATGATTGATTTACTCGTGACACATACAAACGTGCAAACGCGTCCGAATTATCTTGGAAAAAATTAATAACGCATCGACTTCACGTATCATCGCAGTGACAGTAGTCTATTACTACGCGGAATTAGTTATGTTACATCGAGAAACAATTTTTTTTCTTTTTTTTTTTTACGAGTCTTTTATAAGACACAAAACACGTGTCTGCTGTGTGTTATACAGAGTCCTACTGTAACGTAATAGCAGTAATAGTGCAAATAAATTGAAAATGTATCGTTAGAATCAACATACACGCACGCACGCACACGCTATGGGAACGGAGGTATTAACCTATTTGTAGCTCGAAAAGTTCATAAAATTCAGGTTCATCATCACAGAAAAGCTATATATATATATATATATACACATATATATATATATATCAATTATATATATACATATATATATATATATATATACGGCTGTTTATATATACATGTCTTTAAAACCTTTGCATGCACAAACGTACATGATCCAAAAGGAAACTGTGGTAACTAAATTGAAACGGCTAATCGAGTATATTTAGTTTTCGCATTACTTGATTAATCTCACTTTTTGTCTTTGTTCGATTGACAAAACTACAAAAGATAGGCATAACGTTATTACTAAAAAAAAAAAAAAAAAAAAAAAAAGAAAAAAAAAGGATGTGAAGGCGACTTCTGGCTGTTTCCCACGGAATCAACAATTCAAAGACAAAACAGCGGGAAAAATATTCGACTAACATACTTTTTCAATATTTTTACGGATGTATCTTGCACGTCTTATATTTACAATGATATCTTTGGCGTTATTTGGAGATAATTTCTTCGAACGAAAGGGATTTGACGCCGAAAGGAACGTTTTCTTGCTTTTTCCATTTACCTTTCCCTTGAGAGAACGCATCAGTGAAAAAGTTACAGGCGAACTTCCGTTTTTTTTTTTTTTAACCCTAAGAGGAATAAGAATGGCTGAACGTTTATCAAATTATCGCTTTTTAATCGTTTTTATCTATTTATCCTGAGATTCAAACTTTTCTTAATTATCAATCACACTTAACGTTGAAACCGATTCGCAAAGTGTGTGCACTTTTATTGCTAAAGCAAGCTTACTTCAATTTAATTATATTACTTTTTATTGTTAACATGGTCTATGACTAATCGTAAACTTCTGTTCCTCGTTACATTTTTTATTTTATTTTATTTTATTTTATTTTTTTTCCTTTTTTTTCGTTTTTAGCGATTAATAGTATACTTCAAACAGTTCGTGTGAAATTAGCATCCTCGCTCTTGTATAACATCATCGCTAGCATGATTACCGATTTCTGCGCAGTACAAAGTGAACGTTACAAGATTCATGTAAATATCATCGAGATGTTGTTAAATGATAAATAGTGATTGTATGGAACTTATTGATTCGCTATTCGATCGAATTTACGCATCGACATGATTCTTTTCACAGATCGTTCGTAACACTATGTATATTTGAACTCATTTATCAAAACGATCGATCTCTTACACGTCGTTGGATCGATTGATCGTTCATCGTTTTTAAACACGCGCGAAACTTAAAGGACGTACAAATCCTTAATGAAAGAAGATATATCTCGAAAAAACATCATTCCTTCCCCCTCCCTCCCATTTTTCTTTCTCCCGGTAAATTCTCGAACACGACGAACTGTTCCGACCAGCTCGCATGCACGTTTTTTTTATTCTACGAAGGAACCACGAACGATTTATAATTGAATGTAAAACACGCGGCTGGTTTTAATTAGCGCAAAACGCGGGAAAAAGATACCGCAATGTAAAACTAATTGCACAGGTGCTAATTGCAATTCCTTTTGGTTGGAAGTGTTACGTTTCCATAAATTCCGTTGATAATCGATAATAGATCGATGTATGTATATTGGTATATCGTGTCATCGACGAACGTGTAGTATTTTTTTTTTTCTTTTTTTCTTTTTTCTTTTTTTTTTTTTTTTTTGTTCCTTTTGCTTCTTCTTCTTGAAAATCTGATCGATCAGTGATCAGACACGTGTCGCCGTTCTCGTTCAGACTCTGTTCACGTTCGCGAAATCTTTGTCTATTTCCTCCTTCCTCGATCCGTTCAAGCATCTCCGGTACAGGCTGATTAAAGGCATCGCCAGCAAAAGGACACCGCTCAACGCAATGAATAAGCCGGCCAGGTAAAACGACAAATCATACGTCCCAGTGATATCGTACAGCCAGCCTGAAACAATGAGAATACGTTTCACAACGGTCAGGCATCACTATGTTCGGCAAGACGGTAGCAATGCATTCGTCCGTATTTCCCTCGGATTGCCAGAAACAACGTTTGACAAAGTTTTGGCCGTAATTACGAGACGCTCGATCCGAGCCATGGAACTGCAAAGCTATTATACGATCGTATAATTCATACAGAGTTTCCGAGTTAGCATTGTACGAGAGTTACCGGCAATTTATCTTATTACCCCCACCCTGTTTTACCCTGCAAACTATAATTGTTTCGAGCGTTCGTAATGTAGTTCGTATCTGGCGACGAAAATTAAAAATTTCCGTCAATTTCGAAATGACGCGGTGCCAAATTATTGCGTTATAATTTTCACTGATGTTATATTCTGTTCACAAACGTTGTTCTGTTATTCCAAGGTGTTTCTAGATTTAAACGTAAATTCCAGCTTTTGCCAGATTGTGGCTTTATAAGATATAATAGGCAATAATTTAATAATTGATGATATTGGATAAATATCATAATATTTATAAATATAGTATTGATGTAATAATTATATAGAATAAAATACATCATAATATTTATAAATATAGTATAAATATTTATATAAATATCAATATTTACAAATATTTATAAATATTGATATAATAATTATATAGAATAGAATATATAATATTTATAAATATAATATTTATAAATCATAATATTTATAAATACAGTATTGATATAATAATTTTCTAGAATAAAATACATCATAATATTTATAAATATAGTATTGATATAATTATTATATCTATATAATTATACTATACTATTGATATAATAATTATATAGAATAAAATACATCATAATATTTATAAATATAATATAAATATTTATATAAATATCAATATTTACAAATATTTATAAATACTGATATAATAATTATATAGAATAAAATACATCATAATATTTGTAAATATAGTATAAACATTTATATAAATATCAATATTTAGAAATATTTATAAATATTGATATAATAATTATATAGATATAATAGTTATATACTATTGATATAATAATTATATAGATACAATAATTATATAGTATTGATATAATAATTATATAGAATAGAATACATCATAATATTTAATGTAAAATAAAATTTAAAATAAATATAGCATTGATATAACAATTATATAGAATAAAATATATAATTTTAAAATTAATATCTTTGATTGATGACGGGGCAAAAATTATTCGTTCAGGCAACGTTTATTACTTCATTAAGTAAAGTAAGATTAATTACTCTTGTATTACCCAGGATCAGAAATAATACGGAAGAAGTGTATCAAATACTTCAGTATTCCGTCTTCATGGGAAAGTGAATAGCTGATAGAAGAGTTCCTTCTTACCAGCCAACGGAGGGCCCATAAGATTTGCAACACCCTGGACCAAGAGCAGAAGGCCGTACGCGTTTGTGAATCTTTCCAGCGTGATCAATTCGACGAGGATGATGCTGGTAAGACTATAGTTCGCACCGATGAATAATCCAAAAGCACCAGAGATTGCGCACAAAGCATAGTAACTGCCAACTACCATGGGTATTAAAGCTGTCACCGCGCCGCAGAGTGCCATGCATACTGCATACACGATGGACGCGTTCACCCATGCTCTGTCACCTGCCCAACCAAGCAGAATCTGAAAAAAATAATTTCGAAAGCTGTTTATCAGACTTCGAGGAGCAAAATCTCGCGATAAGGCGAAGAGAGAAGAAGCCGTCTATTTTCCAAGCTTCTCCTCGCAGGATTAATTGTTGAGTTTTGAGTTCCCTTTGATTTTCTACACCTCGATTTACGTATGTTCAGCGTTCGAGAATATTTATAATAAATAATAATTTTATTTTCTTCACGATTTTCTTACGATTTCCTTTACACGAGTTTATTTATTACTATTTAATAATTATTATTATTCTTTGAGTGGACACAGAACATATTTGGCAAAGACTAAACACATCACTTGTTCCATCTGAATAACTTTTCAACGCGTAGATTAATTAAAGGCCACGAATGAAAAATTTTCTAGTGTATCGAGTTATTTGTTGGTACTGATTTATAATGATAATTATATTAAGTATAAATTGTATTATATTAAACATTTATTTGAAAAGACGACATTTCATACGCATCGATTTAATACGAAAAAAAAGAAAAAAAAGATACAAAAGTCATTTTAAGCTTCAGAGATCAGACGATCTTACGATAATTCTATAACTATAACAAAAGATGATAAAAATAGGAAAGCATCATGCTAAAAATACAAAACTATAATCTTACACTTTCCAAGGTCGCATGTACCATTGATGACTCTTATCATCGTTTATCTTATATACACGCAGACAATATTGAGAATTTTTATTTTGTTTAATTGAGTTATATATATATATATATGTATATGTATTATTTATATTATTTATATAATGTGTTAAGTATCTTTTTTTTGTGTACTTTTCATGCATCTGAATATGTACACTGAATCGATCGAAGGCAGGTAACTTTCCTCAGACTTATTCCTATGTTAATCACATCAACACAAGTTTAGCCTAACTCTTGCATGACGCAGAACTCAGGGTTGAAGAGAGTGTACGTTCAAATGAGATTAGGCAGGGTGACGTGTCACTGATTGACGTAATACTGAACTCTTAAGAAGCTTTCTGGATTTATTAAAAAAAA